TAAAATACGAAAATAATAATTAAATAATTAAAAAAACTATTTTTGTTATTTTTTTTTTATGAAAAATAGAAAAGTTAGAACAAAAATAAAAGAAAAAAAAGTGAAGAAGGGGGGATTTGAACTCTCGACCTCTCACACTCACAACTCCTTACACACGGTCTCTTGCCAATTGTGCCATTTTATTCATTCAAAATAAAGTGGCACTAGAAACTATGTAAAGGTAGGACAAATTTGGGGTGCAACAACAATCGTCGAATAGGGAGTTTTGTTGTTTGAGGGGGTATTGGGGTTTTTGAAACGGGGTTGTTTGGGTTTTGAGCTGGCAATGCTGGGGTGGTTTTAGGTAATGATGGTGGGAACATTCTGTTGTATTTAGGTCTGGAATCCTTAATTTTTGATTCAAGCAGCTTTGCTAGGCCAATCGCTTGGGAAATAGAGTCAGGTTTGAGTTTTGCAGTTTCGTTTTGAATCTCAGATGTTAACCCAAAAATGAAGCAATTTAGGATAACATCTTGGGATAACCCGACCACCTGAGTGCCTAGTTTTTCAAACGTTGCTTGATATTCCACAACTGAACCTGTCTGTTTTAACTTAAAAAGTTCAGCTTGATGATTAACATATGTGGATGGTCCAAAACGTAATTCTAACGCTCTAGTGAAAGCAACCTAATCTGTTAATAGGTGACTTTGATACATCCATTTGAACCAACATAAGGCTTCACCTTTCATATAAAAGGACATCATAGCAAGTCTATTTTCAGGGGGGAGTTGGTAAAAATCAAAGAATTGTTCGGCTTGGAATAACCATTCCAACGGGTTAGAGTCGTCGAACATGGGTAACTCTAGTTTAGGAGTGCGAAAGGGTGGAAGTGGTGTGGTTGGGTGTAGAGGGGAAATGGGAATATTTTGAAACATAGGAAGATTATAGTTCTGTGGGAAGGGTAATGTGGTAGGTTGCTTAAGGTATGGGGAAGAAAAAAATCTGGGTGGCTGAGGTTGTGTTGGTCGTGTAAGGCCACTGGTCAGGGTTGTTTGGTGAGGTAAATTGGTGAGTGATCCTGAACCTGAGTGTAATAATGGTGATAAAGGTGGTTGTATGTGAGTGGAAGTGGAATTCGTAGCAGGTGGGAAAAAAGAGTGAGGAATATGAGTGATACTTGAGGAAGAAGCTGTTGAAATGGGGGCAGTGGTTTTGTGCTATTGTTCCTTTTGAGTAGCTAACTTGTTCAGCATTCCCATGACATTTTCATATCTAGAGTCCGAAATTTGTTTTTCATTATCCATCCGAGTTTGAATCAACTCGAGATCTGCTGTAGTTTTGTCGAAACGCTCATCCATTTGCTGCCGGGTTTGATTTATTGCATTATCTAGATGAACATGGGCTACTTGGACAACTTCATCAATAATATCTTTAGGGTTAGGTGGTTTGGGTTGGGGGGCCATGAGTTCACAGGATGAAAGCACCAATTTGATAAGAAGAGTTCCACAATTATAATTCTAAGATCTAGGGTTACCAAAAGAGTATGCAACAATTAGATGAAGATAATAAATGACTCTTTTTCATTCATTTCCTCCACTCTAGACATAATAGTACTTAAATACAATAAAAACCAGATCTAAGAAACAATTCAGTTGGGCCAGCCCACAAACTAAGACAATATTTTATTTAATTATTATAAAAATCCTGCATCCATTTGGGCTGACTCTTTTTCCTAATGGGCCTGTTATCACTTGGACTCGAAGAGTGGAAGGTCACCACCCAATCTTCAAGTTTTCAAATCTACTAACTGCTTGAGAAAAGTTATGCGAACCACTCATATATATGCTGGAAGAACTTGTGCATATAACACAGGTCCTCAATACAATGAACTTGACTTTTTGTTTCTGGTGTAAATGTTAACTAAAATGAAACAAATGGGTAAATTTATTGAAAAAATGCTTTGTTATGAATTTTAACAACAATTTTAATCCTTCAAGGACTAATGAATAATGATTTAAAATGACATGTATTTTGTAAAATAAATCTTTTAGTGATAAATTAGACAAGTTAATAACTGCTGGGGAATTGTTGTCTAATATTTCATGAGTTAATTTCTATAATCTGTGTAGATTTGTTGCTTCATTTTCTTGTATTATTATGACAGTTTCATTGTTGATAATATTGCATTAGTCTTAGCACGTAGTTATGAGAATGCAAGTCAATAAAATGAAGTTTTATCAAGAAATAATATTACAAAATATTTTTTCAAGTCTAATAAAATGGACTTGGCCTCCCAGTTGTAAAATAAGGAGACTGGTGAATGTGTGTTTTCAATCGAATTCCAACTGAACTTCCTGTCTACTGCAATTATATGTTGAAAAACATTAGCACGTGGTAAATAAATGTTACCTCAAGTTTAAATGATTTATCATTTAATTGTTCCATTAGCTCAATAACAACCTGCAGTACGAAACAACCAACATTAAGTTGGACAACAATCAAGTGATATAAAGCAACAACAATGTCAATTGAGCATACTTGTGATACTCCTGATTGATCTGTCTGCTCTAAAGCTATGAAATAGTTAGACATTTGCTTTTCCAGCAAATCTATTTCTTCACTCTTTTCCTTAATTTCATTTTTCAACTTTTTCATCTCCACCTTTATTATTACAAATAAAACTTTCAGGCAGAACAACCACAATGCGGGCTGATGTTAAATACTTTCAAGAAGCTCTCCAATTCCACAGGTTTGATAATGAACCCTAACAAATGCAAAATATATTGTGGGGGTTTAAATAATGTGGGCAGATAGAAGTTGAAGGATATGTCGGGTTTCCAAGCTGGTGCGCTGCCGTTCAAATATCTAGGCATCCCTGTGTCAAGTAAGAAACTGACCATTAACCACTTCTTGCCTCTGGTGGATAAAATTTTGGCTCGAATTCATCATTGGTCATCTAGACTCCTCAGCTATGCCGGTAGAATTCAGCTAGTCAAAAGTATTGCGGCTGCAACGATTCAATACTGGATGCAATGCCTCCCTTTGCCTAAAGCTGTGATCAGGAAAATAGATTCCATTTGCCGTAGCTTCATTTGGACCGGTAAGGATTCTATTAGTAGAAAATGTCCCGTGGCTTGGAATCGCACTTACTGCCCGACAGCTCAGGGTGGTTTAAATCTGTGGAATCTGCAGGTTTGGAACAAGGTGCTGCTCCTGAAGTGTCTTTGGAACCTCTGTAGAAAAACTGATAATTTGTGGGTTAAATGGATCCATACTCATTATCTGAAGGATAAAAATGTGATGAATTACGAAACCAAAGCTCACAACTCTTGGATTATGCGAGGTATTTTGAAACATCGAGATAACATGGGTGAAATCCGGAATGATTGGGATCAAATCGTGAATGCACAGAAGTTTAAAGTCTCGGTTCTTTATAAGGCGATGATTGATGATGGCACAAGGGTTCAGTGGCGTAATCTAGTGCAGTTCAACAAAGGGCGACCGCGTGCAGTTTTTTGTTTATGGAAGGCTTGCCACGGAAAGCTTGCGACCAAAGACAGGTTGAAACACTTTGGGATGCTTGAGGACAGCAGCTGTAACTTATGTCATGCTGGGGAAGAAACGATGAATCACCTTTTTTTTCTCTTGTCAAGTGACCAGTCACATATGGAAGGAAGTGCTCGATTGGTTTAACACCTCTCATGATCCTCAACTGTGGGATACTGAGATGATTTCGCTCACCAAGTTAACAAAGGGAAAGAGCTAGAAAGCTGAAATTTTGAGAATGTTAACCGCTGAAACTATATACAACATCTGGGGATATAGAAATGACAAAACTTTTGGCAACACTGTAGATAATACAACCACAGTATCTAACATCATTGACTGTGTGATCTATCGTGGGTGGAACAACACTAGGATTAGGAAACATCTTGTTAATTTTATGATGTAACTTTTAGTCCGTTTCTGTCGGTTGGATCCCCCTGGATCACCTAGATCTGTACTGTCGTTGTTTTTTGAATCAATATATTTTTATTCAAAAATAAAACCACAATGCTAATTCTCATAAAAGAAAAAGGAACCATCTATACAGACAAAAAAAAAAGTAACCAACATGAATCTGACTAATTTGAGGATTTGTTCTTGTTTCCTCAGATAACCTCTTTAATGCACTTGAATGAAGTGCCACTTCTCCGGATAAAATCTTATGGTGCTTAAATTGATCAGAAAGATATATGAGGAAAACAAATTCTGATTATTGAGTAACCATAATCTGTCTCAGGCCAGTGGTGAAGTAAATTAAAGATTGATTTGCAAATCGTATTGAAATGATTCAGGAGCAATGTTCATCACAAAATTGAAAAGGAAGTGATTCATAGGATCGAAATCCATAAAATTTAAATTCATTTGTGAAATTTGTAATACATAAAATATAAATTCATTTGCAAATATATATACAATTGAATTTTCAATTTTGAAAAAAAGGAAGCAATTGATAGATAAAGACATAAAAAATCTTATCCTTTTGGCTTTGAAATCAAAATCCTGTTAATGTCACACAAGTTCACTATTGGATGGATGAAAAATGGTTATGATGAGAGAATGAAGAAGATTTATGTAAAGTTTTACGTAGAGTTAATGAAAAAGTTAAAAGATGAATGTATTTAGGATTTATGTAAAGTTTTACGTAGAGTTAATAGAAAAGTTAAAAAGATGAATGTATTTAGAATTTATGTAAAATTTTACGTAGAGTTAATGGAAAAGTTAAAAGATGAATGTATTTAGGATTAATGAAAAACTTAAATTTCCAGAACATTGAAAGACACCATAATAAGATGAAATAAAATGTATTTGGAAAGAAAAATAAGATTTATCTGAAAGAGATCTACAACAATGATATAGAATCTATTAAAAAATGGAAATTACAATTAAAAATATAAAATACACTCTCCGATCATTATTATAAACAACAAATTTATTTGCTTATAGATTTTTTTTATATCAATAAGGAATGCAACGATTCAATTGAAATTCTCAATAGCAATTTGAACTTGTAATTCATTTGATCCTTCATGTGTCAAGCCACTCTGCATTACATTCTTCAAAAAGGCTTTCACATTAATTTCAGATGATCCACCTTTCTTTTTTGCTCCCTGACATAAAAGCTGAAACTCTTTAGCTTTTTTTCTCAAATCACTTCCAATATCAAAATCCAAATCCATGAATTTTCTTAGCAACACAACTATTTCATCTCTTGTAACCAAAGTGTCTAACTTATCATCTTTTTTCACTCTCCACCCAACTTTCCAATCCTCAACAATAATCTTACTAATCAATGGTTGATCCATAGCAAGTGGAAATGTCAAAAAAGGAACCCCAGCAAAAACACCTTCCATAACAGAATTCCAACCACAATGTGTCCAATAACCACCTATTGAAGGATGTAACAATACCCTCAATTGGTCACACCATGTCACAACTAACCCCATTTTCCCACACATATCTTTCAATCTATGAGTCTCGTCGCGCGTTACCCATAAAAATCGAACGCCGCTATCTTTCAAAGCAGCTGCAATTTCATCCATTTGTGATCTTGAAACAGATAGAAAACTACCATATGAGATGTATAAAACAGACCCACTAGGTTGGAGATTTAACCAATTTATGTAACTTTGTGCAACATCATTAGTAGCATTCAGAGAATGTGAATTGTGTCCAAGATTAAAATAAGGTATGTTTGGGCCTATGGTGTAAATTGGTATTGTGAGTTTTGATTTTAAGGCATCAATTACTTGTGGTTCAAGCTCATAAAATGAAGACAATAATAGATATTGTGCTTTGAGAATCCATTGATAACTTTGTAGAGCCCATTGTAAAACTTGATGATTGTTCTTATCAAGAAGAGGGACATCAGCTAGGTGAATCCAAGATTTTGATGGAATATAATCTATTAGTTTATCACCATTTTCTGCAAAATAAAGAAAAGTTAACTTAAAAGGGACCGGTAATGTAAATTAATATAACGTTCATATATTCCATTATATTAAATTTATAATAATATTTTAAAATTTATACCGTTGGTGCATATCTATTAAAACTCTTTATAAAGAGACAAACATAAATAAATATAATTTATATCTACTATTGCTAAAAAATATACAAAATATAAGGGGTGTTGCTTCAATTTTAATAAACTTAAAAGAAAGTTAGTGGATATTGTAAAATTTTAGAAAATGTATGCTATTTTAATAGACTTTTCTTGAGGTGAGTGTAATTTCTAAACAATTGTGTGTATTACATAAAAATAGAATATAATACAAGTATTTTTGTGAGGAATCCTTAAATAAATATTTACAATAAAAGATTAATATTTTTAATAAAATAGTGCATTTAATTATATAAAAAGATATAATAATTTATTGGATAAGCTTAATTTAAACCCAACTCGCAATTAATATAAAAATGTAAGGACAAATTATAAGTCCCATCACTGGATTGGTTAAAAGTATATGCATTCAAATGATATATTAATTAAAAGTTTTTGATATATTGTGTAAATCATTTTTACTTTTTATAGAACTAGACAGAGTTATGATAAAAAAATTATAATAAATAATTTTTTTAAGTATTTAATGTAAACATAAGTAAAAACATGATAATATTATTTTAAAATTTTAAACTTTTTATGGTAACTTTTTTCATAATAGAATAAATAAATAGTAAAAAATTTTATATCTAGATGGTCAAAATATGATAAGTTGAATAGAAATATAATAAGATAATTTGTCTACTTATAAAACTAAAAATAGCAAAAGATTTTATAAAAGAATAAATAAATAGCTAAAATTTTAATTCTAGATGGTCAAAATAAGATAAAAATAAATAATTATTTTTATATCCTATATTTGATGCGCATATATTATGTTATTTTATATTATATATCTGGGGTGCTAGTTGATAAAAACTTGGTTTTGTATATTTAATGTGCTGAATATAAATTCTCTCAAAAATAGTTGTTAAATTGTCATGAATATATCACTTAATTAATAAAAAAAAATCCTCTTTGCCAAAATAATTTAATTTTAACATAAACCATATTCAAAATAATAAAAAATGATAATATATATATATATATATATATATATATATATATATATATATATATATATATATATATATATATATATATATATATATATATATATATATATATATATATATATATATATATGAATAAGTTATCATATAGTGACAAATCATCAGATATTAAATTGAAACAATATATAATATTTATTTTATTGTATCACGTTTTTCATGATCATAAACTGACCTCATATTCTTAAAATAACTTTTTTTATCATTAGATATTAGCTCATGTGGAGTACTATTTATCCTCTCGTATTTATCCTTGAATATAGTGATACGTGTAGAGATAGATTACCACTACTTTTATCTATTCTTATCTTTCACACATATATATATATATATATATATATATATATATATATATATATATATATATATATATATATATATGAAAATCCGTACAAATTTTCACTCTTAAAAGCATCTTTAGTGCAAGTTCTGTAGTATTAAATTCTTTAGCTATAAACAATTTGCATTAAAATAAGAATGACATGATACTAAGTGAACTAACAATTACTTTTCAGTAGCTATATAACCAATCGCACAAATTTCAATAGCTTTGATTATTATTTTATAATATTAAAATATATAATATAAGATTAAATTTTGATTTTTTATAAGCAATCATCCTTAAAGTAAAAACAACTTAAATCAACTATAAATTTTTTAAATATTACAAATCATTTTAAATCTAAAAAAAAATATCTTAATTTATCAATTTAGTTTACTTTAACAAATCATTAAGTGAATCTCTAAACATGCAACTACTTTCTGTTATTTTCTGCTACATTTCTGTTAGCATTCTTCTTCATTGACATGAATGAAGATTCTTCGTGGGTTTTTCGCACATTAACATTAGATAATTAAATTTGTAAGAAAATTTAATGATTCTTTTTCCAGTAAATGAAAAGTGTATTTACCCTCACCTAAGGGCTTGCCTTGTAGGAAAATATGGAAAAATTGCACCCACAGCTCCGACGTAGACGAAGTCCAGAACGCAGCCACCGGAATATTCCTCCGGTTTCCAACACGAACAGCCCAAAAGAGAAAAGCATCGTATATAACAAATGTCGGCGGCCGCCGATTGAGCCGATCGAGTAGCCGCTCCAACGGCGCTTCCATTTGGGTCATAACAGCTTCAACGATATTCAGAAAGCTGTCACCACCAACGCTAGGGATGGTTTCAAATCTTATGTTGTCGGGCTTTGGATCGGTATCTATTAAGGTTAGCCATTCTTGTGTGACAACAATGGTGACGAGGATGTTGTTGGGGGTATTAGATACTAGCAATTTGCTGAGATTCATCATGGGGTTGATGTGTCCTCGTGATGGATATGGAATCACTAACACATGGCTGGTTGAGGTTTTGGATGATGGTGAATCTGGAACTTGAAATTCCATGGTAATGGAACGAAACAACAACAAACTATAGCTTAGTGTGTGACTGTGAGATATTATAAACTACTAGATCTTTATATATAAGAGGAAAAAAGAAAATCAGCAAAATAAATGAGATAATTTGAAATAATAAAAAAGTTATTAAAGGAATTATAATATTAAATATTTTTATGTATTCTAATATAATTAGGCTTTAATGATAATGCATATTGTCATATATTATTTTGTTATGTTATATAGTAATTTAAATTTTTTAATTTGACTTGATGAAATGTATGATTGTCATTGACACTTTAAAACTAACTTACACTCTCAGGGCATCATCTATATTCTTATATAAATTATAAATATTTTAATTAAATAATATTAAATTATATCTTAATTATAATACTATGTGAGATATTAATGTACAATTTAAAATATTAGTGATAGTTAAGTCAATAAATGTTTGATGTATTTTTTCAAAAATTCAGTTCAAATGCATTAATTATTTATTGATTTAAGGATTCAATAGGTTTGTGGTCCTCACATATATTTTAAATTTTACTTTTCGTCCTTTAAAATATTTTATTCAAAGAATGATATTTTTAAAAATTTTGTCCACACTTTTGCCCCATAATACTAAAATCATCGTTAAATCTGTCGCTAATTCAGTCGCTAATTAAGTCGTAAAAATCGTCGTTAAGTTGCATGAGGGACCAAAAGTATGGATAAATTTTTTTAGGAAGATCATTCTTTAAAAGAAATATTTTAAGAGATTAAAAACGAAATTTAAAATTTTATGAGTACCACAAACATATTTAACCTTTGATTTAATTATTTTTATATTTATGGTTGAAAGAAGTACAAATAATATTAAAATTATATAAAGAATAACTTTGAGTATTTCATACTTTTTTACCGGTTTTAAATGATAAAATTTTAAAAAAGTACTTAAAATAAGAAACTATTTTAAGGAAACTACTCCCTGTCTTGTGAAACATCATTGTGTCCTTTTCTGATAAGATTCTTATTTTTGTAAGATTCTTGTTCAATTTCTTTTTCTTTTTCTTCTTTTTTTTTTCTTTTCCTCTTGTGTGTGTGCCAATCAAACAAAACCTGAGATGAGTTCTTCAGTTTATTCTCCTTTGAATCAGCTGGTTGTCATCAATGAAAAGTTTGTGGATTTTGATGAGTTGCTTAAGATTGGTTCAACTTCTAGGAGTCTGTATATGTCTAAACAAAGGTGGAGTGGCTACTTTGAGATGCTCTGTGGTTTCCCTTATCCAAGTCTTGTCAAAGAGTTTTGGATTAATGCCTCCATTGTTAAGTTGAATTATGAGTATGTTATTTTGTCTAGAGTGACTGGTGTTTCTATTACAGTAACCTCTAAAGCGAATGTGTTGGCTCTAAATTTCGACGCCTGAATTGGATGAAAAAATAATAATAGAATCTCCTGGAAAATCAGAGGACTTCGACCGGAGCCATATTTTTAGAATGTGATTCGAAGGCGTCCTTTTGCCAAGAAAAACCATTTTACAGACTTAGAAATATTTCTTAGCAGTTGGAAGATTCGATTCGACAGAGGTGCTATTGAAGACATTTCGACACGAAGATTTGAATTCAAATAGAGGAGGGAAAGTCCGTTCTTATCCGTTTCTCAAAGAAGACACGTGGAACGCTTCTAAGAATCAAAGACATGCAGAGCGCCACTTGTCTCAATTTAGTTTGTTATCCGTTGATGGTAGTTGTTTTTGATTAGTATAAATAGCAAGTCTTAGTGTTAGGATTTGTGTATGTTCAATTGTGTACAAATTCTTCAGTATACTCCAAGTACCTGCGTGTAGAGAAACGAGTTTGTGAGAATGTACATTGATGTAACACCATTTTTATATTTCAATGCAATTCAATAAGTCTTTTTCATTAAGAATTTATCCTTTCTTTATGCAAGTTATTTTCTACATTTTTTACCAGTCTTTCGACTTTAATCCTTCACGTTCACTTCCATTTATATTTGAAATACATTATTTTATCATGAACTTTGTCGATGTGCTCATCGTCTTTTTAAACTTTGTTTAAGATCAATTAGCATATGACCTAGAATTTGTGTGGTCGATTCTGCAAGTAAAACAAATCTTTTTCGATTTAGAAGACCAGCGGTTGTTCACCAATTTTCACGACAAACAAATTGGCACGCCCAGTGGGACAGTGCTAAGTGGTCATAAAATTTACCTTAAAATTTTTGAAAATTTGTTAGCTCGCATTCAACTTTTTCTTTGAAAACTTCGTTGCATGTTAGTAGGAAGTGGTAAAGTAGTCATCGCTAACAAAGATAGAACAAGGAGAAGATATAGGAGGAGAATGGCGGCAAATTCTAACCAGCCAAATATTCCTCAGAATGCACCTAGTAACAATATAGAAAAACCCATTGGATCTTCGACAGGAGGACCAACATTCTCAGCGCCTGTCTCTGAAGCAATACCATCTATAGGAAGTTTGATACCTATACATTCGATTGCCCATACACGAATTCTGACTTATATTGGGACAAGGGGTCCTCCACAGACTCCACCACCAATAAGGGCTTCAGCATTAAGAAACGTCCCTCCTTCTGGGTTTGTAATACCCCTGCCTCGAGACCCACCCTATGGAATGCCAACTTCGATGATGGAAAACTTACAAAATGCCCATCCTTTATATACAGAACCCGTAATGACTTCGTCATTAAAGGGATCAGGCTCTGGGGTAAATATGGGTCAAAATAGTCAAACTTTAGGATTAAGGTATTATGCTCAAATGCCAAATTTGATAACTAGTTCTGCATCATACTTAAGACAATAGATGGACGAAAGTAACCTTCAAATGGTTCAAATGATGTCCCAAACTATTGGGGAAAATTTTCAGCCCCTTATTCAAAATACTACCCAAACTAATCAACAATTAGCAGCGCAAATGACGCGCCTTGTAGAATTCTTTGGTGTACCAAATCCCCCTCGACAACCACCGAGGGAGTATATGATAGAAAACCAAGGGGTAATTTTCGACGAAGATACCACCATTAATGAAATTCAACAAAATCCGGGAAATATACCCAGGAAAATCAAAACAACCAGGGAATGATCAAAAGACCTAGAGTCGAACTCCCTAGGAATCAACCACAAGTTCCTAGAGAAGAAGAACCAAGGGTAGTTTTGGTAAATAGGAACCAGGATGCTGAAAACATTGTACATCAAGTTCGACGTAACAACGTAGTAGTAGATAATAATTTGGCTGACATGGTCGAAAGAATCATGGTACATAACAGAGTAAATTTTGGCCTTCAACGGCCAAATTATACATCCTCGTTATTTAAAAAAAAACTTCAGTCATATTTACCTCCAAGAACAAAGGTTCCTAAGTTTACTAAGTTTTCGGGGGATACTACTGAGTCCACTGTCGAACATGTGGCTAGGTATTTGATAGAAGCGGGAGAAATATCGAATGATGAGAACCTTAGGGTAAAATATTTTCCAAGTTCTCTTACAAAGAACGCTTTCACTTGGTTCACAACCCTACCTCCAAATTCGATTCATAATTGGACCTAGTTAGAACGTTTGTTCCATGAGCAGTTCTACATGGGACAAACAAAGATCAGTTTGAAGAAATTGGCTAGTATAAAATAAAAGTTTACTGAGCCAATAGACATTTATTTGAATAGGTTTCGAATTCTCAAGGCAAGGTGTTCCACACAAGTGCCAAAACACGAGTTAGTCAAAGTGGCTGTTGGTGGCCTGAATTATTCCATCAGGAAGAAATTAGATACTCAATACCTGAGGAATATGGCCCAGCTGGATGATAGGGTTCGACAGTTAGAACGTTTGAAAGAAGAAAAGCTAGGGCAAATAAGAATAAAAGAATAGCCTATGTCGAATTCAATGAAGAAGACGAAGGACCTTATAATGAGCCTATGAGTTTCGATGAGAATGAAGTAGATCTCGCTGAATTGAAAAGGGTTCACTCTATTCTTGCATGGTTTTAGCACCTTCGAATGGAAAGAACCCTGCCGAACTAGAAAAGAATGATAGGTTTCATAAGAAAACTTATACATTAAACGTTACAAAATGTGATAAAATCTTTGATTTTTAGTTAAAGATAGGAAAATGATAGTACCACCTAGTGCTAAAATGCCCCCTTAAGATCAAAGAAAAAAAGGTTTTATAAATACCATAATTTCTTGGGTCATAAAACCTCTCAATGTTTTATTTTTAGGGATCTTGTTCAGAATGCTATCCTAGAGGGAAGGCTCAAATATGGGGAGAAGTCCAAGAACCAGATGAAAGTTGACGCTGACCCTCTACAAATTGCTGACGCTCATTATACGGAGCCAAAAGAGGTTAACATGGTCGAAGTCGCTGGAGATTTTGACAATGTAGTCAACATGGTTGAAGTCACTGAAGACTTCATTAATAAGGCTGTTTTGGTCCAGGTTACTGAAGATCTTGACCAGAAATTCATGAAAGATTTTGTTCGTGAAGCTACTAAAGGCTTCATCAAAGAAACTACTGATAGTTTCGACTGCGGAGGTACTGATAGCTTCGCCAAAGGAGTTACTGAGGACTCCAACCTTATGATGATAATGAAGGAAACTGCTGACGGTTTCGTTCGAATGGACAAGGCCGTTGATGGCCTTCAAATGAAATTCTGTAAGATGGACATTGCTGATGATGTCAACATAGACATCAACATGGTGGAAATCTCACAGGAAACCCCCATGGAAGTCGACGAGGAGCGTCGACAGGAAGAGTATAACAAAGTGGCTTACCCAAAGAAGGAGGAAAACCTCGTAGATTTTCTCCACAGGTGCCAGAATAAAAAATATGAAGTTATGTTGTGCCCAAGGTGCAGTGTTGTGTTTGACAAAAAGGCAGCATGCAACATTTAGGGTGTGAGAAAGGAAAAAGAAAGGCGTGAGCACAGAGCCTCCTACGGGCAACGAGATTTCTACCCAAGAAGATCCTCTTCAAGGCAAGATGAAACCAAGCAAA